TTATTCAACCATTTGTCATTATTGCATTCTGTATATGCATTGTTTGTATGATATATTTATGTAAACAACAACAATTAATTAAGTACTTTTTTATTTTCCCTTATTCATAAATTATTAATTGGCTGATTTTTTAATTTAGTCAATAAAATATATATATATATATATATATATATACATTTGAGATTTTCCACGCGCAAAAAACAATTCAATTTTTATCATATTTCCAACGCGTGCAGAGTAGATGAACATATTAAGGCATGTAAAAAGACTGCCTCACACTTTGCGCCGAATTATGATTATTTACAACTTATTATTCCTCGCATTAATGTTAACAAGAGATTCATGTTAATAGACTCCACGTAAAGCATTTGGATTAGAGTTCACCCTCAACGATTTTCATATTCCCGGTAATAAAAGTTGAACATATTGAAACGTAAACAAGCACAACCAAGTCGTGGATTTCAACTTTTTTTCCCAGGCCGGAAAACACAGCAGAGCTTTATTACGCCAACAGCCTAAATGCCTGGGATATAAAAAGAAACGTAGTCTAGCTAACGGTGAGAAACAGTTAATGATCTTAAACTTCAGCTGACTATCTCAATTGTTGTGACTTAAGAAATTCCAGCCATTTAGAGTTCCGCTAATTAACGAAGGATCGCAGCAAGCAAATTTCCAAGGTTTTTTTCATGAGAAAATCCTATCACCTGAATGAAAATTTCCTTTATTCTAAACTTTTATCTTGGCAGCACTGTTGTTTTGATAGGCATATATTAAAGGGTTAAGGTAGGCGCAAGCCCTAAAAGCTTACTCTTACGGTGCCGCCGGCGCACGGAGTAAAAAAACGCCACTCATTCCACAAAACGAAAGGCTCCCTTACAGTTCCAGAATAAAAGCACGTGTACGGCATGTCTTTCTCCATAGCGGGGGTGAAACTTGTCCAATGTCTAACATATTTAATTTTCCCTCAATCTGTGGGAGAATATGCAATCACTACGGAACTGACCGAAGGGCCTTTCCCAGCAGTCAGAAAGAAGACCATCAGAGACGATCATCTGAGCTGCCTCATTATTTTTAAGGTCTAAGGTTCGATTTCGGGTAGCCTATAGCTACATACCAATTACGAATCCATACATCTCAGCTTACGCACCATTAAAACAGTTTAATTCGCAAAAACCCATCGAGAACGCCTCTGCGTATCTGTTCAAGTTCGTCGCATAAATGTCCGTGGAAAGAATCTCGTTAAAAATGTAGTCATTGTCAGTCAACCTAATTCCGCCGCATACAAGACACGGAGGAGGTCACCATATAACTAGAAAAAGCCAAAAGAACTTCTAGTACCATAGAGCCTGTGACAACTGAAAATTAGATGTTCAGCAGTCTCGCTAATATTATAAACTTCACAAATATCACATAATATAGTACGAATCAGTTTTAAGTATACTTTTTAATAAGTGTGACCACTTATGGAAGAATTTTGATTTCTCAGGAGTTAAAGAAAGCCTCTGATAACGGTTTAAACTTAAATATCACATTTATTTTATAGAAGAGGTGATTGCATTGGGAGTATGTTTGATAGACGAAATTGTGCCCTTGACTTGGGCTCTTTTTGCATAAAAGTCAGCTTTTGCATTTTAAAGAAACCCGCAGTCCCCACGTAGCCCAACAAGGTTCCAGTCATCTACCTGAGATTCGTACAACTTGCTATGTATGTCAAACACAAATTGATTATCTGCATATCTTTTATTTATTAGAAGCAGAGCCGGCTTGCTATCAGAAAAAACCAATGTTTTAATACTGCCAATAACAGCTACTTCAATAGGGTGCTCCCACTCAACTGTAGTTTTATGGATTTAGGCGATCTGCAATCAAGTTTAAATATAACAGTATATTCGTAAATGCAATTGCCTTCAATGGGATAGGGTTGCTTTCAAAATATGGCAACCAAATCAACGCACTAAACCTTTGCCTGGAGTGAGGAAGAAGAAGAAAAATACAATTAATCATCTGTTCATAGTTTTCTGGTAAAAGTGTAGAGTTGCCCGTTAAAGTGTACGGTTTTCTGTTAAAACGCATTTGCATTTAAACGAGGTCGGGAAGTGATTTGTTACAAAGACTCTTTTCTTCGGCAAAGATGTGTTAAGATTTGTTTTTTTTATTCATCACTCATCATGCAATCGTGTCATAAATTTTATTAATTAATAATGAAGTTACTATTTCTGGTATTATGTTAAGAACTTCACACTTGTCATAAATATCTTATTATTACTATTTAGAGAGCGTTTTGAATTAATATGAAATTTGTATTTGAATCTCGATGAAAAATTTTTTGCTTGTGCCAATGGCAAATATTTTTCCACAAAGTCCCCATTTAGGGTTTTGGGGAGAGCTTCCTTTTGTCAAAACGTTTGCAACTCCCTGAAGGAACGTTCAGAAATCTCGCAAAATCTCTCGAACCGATTTAAGTAGGTCCGCCTATTCGTCCGTGAAATGATCGTTGTAAACATTCCCCTCGCCACAAAAATGAACCTGTCATCGTCATATTTTGCAGAAACATGGAAAGCTCTTTGCCGGGGGATGGCATTGAAAATGGACCAAAGCGGTGAAAGACATGCTTGCAATACTAAGTAAACCGAGACTTTACTTTACTTTACTCTCCAAAAATGAAAAAAAATTCTAAAACCATGCTTTAGTATCTGTGCAGAAATGGAAAAAATCGCCCACGCCTACCCAATTTTATAGTGTATCGTAATTTCATCCTTTTTCAAAAACATTTTATTCATAAGGATCTCAACACAAAAGACATGACATGATTAACAGCCATCACTTTTTCAGGATCTACGCAAACAATTTCATTTATTTTATTATTTATCTTTGACTGCGACATGCAATTTGCTGAGCTTGAAAAGTTCTAATTAGCACAAGACGTTTTGCATAATCAAATCAATATTTTCAATCCATACCACTTTCGAAAACCACTTTTAGCCACGCACTCGTCCGCCAACTACGAAAGAAGAAAAAAGTGTTACTTACTTTCTCAGAGCGGATTAGAGCTTTTTCTTCATTCAAGGATATTTGTATATAAACATGAATAACAAGCGGATTAGACTTCCTTTTTAATTAGTTTAAGATATAAGATTACGATTATATATATATAGTAAATATATTGATAGCAGAACGTTACCTAAAATGCGTTTAGAATGCTTACTCTCTTTACGGCAATGCCATGTAACTGCAAAGCGTTTCACAAAGGCAAAAAAAAATTCTATATTCAAGCAGAACTGGATTTCGGCTTTAATACTATTGGCTGCGGATGGATACGTGCCAGTACGTTGATAGAAAATTTCACTCAACAACAAATGAATCAAAGCAAAAACAATACTCGTAAATTAGAATCAACTAACCAGAACGAATCGAATTGATGGCCGAACAGATAAATGCTACGAAAAAGAAAAAGCCCAAAAAAATTTAAATCGAGTTTGACAAACTCCTTTCCGGCACTAAACAATTATCAACATTTGATGTAAAATATAACGAGTAGAGTTATCAGTTGTACCCTCTGTTTTAATATATACATAATTGCCAGTACGGTAGTTCCTTTTAGCCATCTATATCCCATATAGCTATGCTTGTAAACTGAAAAAGCAGTAAAAACACGCCAAATTGTAGAAACTAAAATTAAATTCATTTTTCCTTTCTTCTTTTTTATTAATTTTACCCATAATGATAAGCTGGATTTACCATCGTTGTAGTCGTACATTTCTTTGCAGCATAAGCAAACAGATAACGTGTACCCCAAAATAGACAAGTGGTCAGGAAAGATGTCACTATCACAATCTTTACTTTAATCCAATAGACAATCGATAGCCAGTGTCAATGATGACCTACAAACGCGATAAGAGCGAAAGTGCCGTAACTCTACGGGAGATCCCTTCATTATGAACTATTTTTTTTTTTTTTTTTTTTTTTGTATTTGATATGGATTGGACCTTTTAACCTAAATTTAGATCCATAATCCAGTAACTATATAGAAATTCATTGCTGATATTCATAATTTCACGTGATGATGAAATAATGATCCTTTTTTACTAAATATTTTAATTTTTTTGCTTTCTAGGTTATGTTTAACTCATTGGTGATGAAATTGTTTACGTTAAATTGAGTAACGTGCTGTTAACTTATATTTATAGAAATCCATTGATGATATTCAAAATTTCACGTGATGATGAAATATTGATGCTTTTTTACTAAGATTTTTTTAATTTTTTGCTTTCTAGGTTATGTTTGACTCTTTTCTTTATTTCTTTATTTCAATTGAGTAACACGCTGAAGTTGGTTGTGCACACCCCAACGACAGCATGAAGACTGTCATTATGAACTAAATGATTGCTGAAAGCAAGCGGCAACATGATCAACAATAGGTATAAACAGAACTTTTTATTAAATGGGGACATTTTCTTTGAGTTTGAAAATGTTTGGGTACTAATTTGAACAAATTTCTTAAATATGGTATCGTAGCATAAACCGAACATCGACATGCATTGATGTGTGTGTGTGCGTGTGTGTCGCTTGTAATAAATAAGAAAAATAGTCAAAAAATGGCAGCTCTGTTAAATGGTTAAATGGTAACGCCACTGTGTTATCTAACGGACCAAATTATCTAACGGACCAAATTAATAAAAGCCGTCGGCATCCAACAGGAAGCCAATAGACATTAAACATACGTTATCATCAACACTAACTGGCGACCAACCAGAGCCCGATTGAGTCCTAAGGCGTTCGTTCTATTCCCTATGTTGCGATTTTTGTTTCAATCAACCAACCATCTCGAGAATATTAACAATTTTTAAGTCTTTTTGTTCGTACATTCTCTATTTTCTCTATTTCTCTATTTTCATTTGGGCATAGTAGGCCGAGCATAATGAACAGCTGATCATGAAACGAGAGAACAAGCATATGGCAACACTTTACACAATGTTTTCGTTTTTTTCATATCTAATCTTAATGTCAAATACGAGCAACTAAAACGGCAAAAGAGATTTATTTTAAGTTGAATTTCTTCTTCATTTTATTAATTAAAATTTTCACGTATATCCGGGCTGTGAAAACGAATGAAGTTGTCGGCTTTGGCGGTTTTATAAAAAGTCACGCAGAAATAGCTTTCTGTGAAGTCGAAGTAAAATTGTAAGTAAGAGGCGGTCGCATCATCACAGCTTCATAATAAAAATCAATCAATCATAATACAAATCAATTAACTTGAACGCCTGGGAAGGCGAATTGTAAAATTTACTGTCTGGCTCTATTTTCGTCTGTATGATAAAAGAATTTTTTTTTCTTTTTTTTTGGTATGTTGAACAGAGATGGACTAAACCAATGATTTTTTCATGTAAATGCCAGAATGACGTATCAAAAAAAGACTTATATACGCGTAAGGTCGAGCTATATGAAAAGTTGATTTTAATACAAGCACAAAAACGAAATGTCATTACACTGCAGACAAATTTTGTATTAGTTTATTTAATAATAGCCTCACTAAAAATGCATTAAACGATAAAAAGGATTACCTCCCTTCGAACGTATTGCCCCGCCTCCACGATGGAGTTGAGAACTAAAGGAAGTGAAACTTACCTTTCCTTACCTTACCTCGGGTAGAGCACTTGGCATTCAGATGCAGCTACGTTCACCAGATGGCCGTCAAGAGCATAGCAGCGCAATTACCGATATTAATGTCGTATTTTCATTCAGGCCCATAATACCGGGCGAATATGAATTGGAAGTCGTTTGTTCGATATAGCATTTCGAACAAGCATTTAATGGTGCTTTTGTTTAAAGAAAAGGGGGTAAGCTAAAATTAATCTTTTGCAGGAGGTTTGAAGTCACATCACTTGCTTATTTGTGGGATAAGCAACCGACGGTATGTCCTAAGCAAATCGATTGTGCTTTAGCCGAACTATGAATTCCAAGCAAACTATATAGAAATTAGAATTGCTTTTAAGGTAAAACTAATTAAAGTAATCATTTATAAGCAGTTTCTTTTAGTAAGTTTCCCACTTTCCAGATTGACGGTTTCAATTTCGAAAACCAAGTTTTAATGGCTGTCAGAAGTTCTCCTTTATGACCGGCTATTATTAATGGCCAACAAGTGATTTTTGCCGATAATAAGGGCTTTTTAAATTTGGTGATGGAACCTACACTAACCAAGTGGAACCACCACGCTTGAAGTTCCCTGAGCAACAAATTCAATCGCAATTAATTGCAATTAAATACCTCCTCAATACCGACCGCAGCAATCAATGAGCCACTCTCAGGATTTTTTACTACAGTCAATACAAATGCTGAATCTGCAGTGTGGCGTACTTTTTACCAGCAGGCAAGCCCAATGTGAAAGTTGAAATCTGAATGAAAGAAGATAAAGCAAGTGGTGTCCAATTCTACCTATTGCAACAAAATATTTAAGTTAAAAACTAACCATTAGATGGCACAACCTTTTCACAATTGCAAGCAAGCCTAAACGATGCTCCCCGCTCAGTTTGCTTGGAAACTGAGGTTACTTTAAATAATTTAGATGCTAGTCGTCTGCTATGACCACACATGTTATTATGTAGTTGCCTTGAATGTCGAAATCAGGCAGAGTTCCTGTGTGAGTTTTAATCGTAAGCTTAACGTGCAAAGAGTTCAAATCACGCAAAATCGAAAATAAAACGAGAAGGTAGCCTTCTTCTTTGACCTGATGTTGGTTTAGGATCAGGACGCCGGCGAATTTCAATTTTTTTTTTATTTTTTTGCTCTTTTATCTGGTTAGCTTACTTTCACAAATCAAATCCCAACAAACAAGAAGAACAAACGGTGGATTGGTATAATAAAAAGTGCATCAGTTCCAAGCCCTTCTCAAGCTAAATATATCCCCTTTAGCAAAACTGGTGTAGGGTACCATTTCATTACACTAATTAATTACAATAATAATCAAATGTGCTTTTTCCAAGCGAGATCTCACAGGATAGTTACATCTTCGAAAATGAATATGCTTGTTATTTGCATCTTCAAACGATCTGATGCGCGGAATTTTAAAGGTTGATATTAGTACAGTATATGAAAACCTTGGTCGTCACTTACGCTTATAAAATGAAATTAATTTGTTTTTTTCATTTTGATTTCTTAGTTCACGATACAATAAACTATACATACTCAGGAGAATATAATGTTTTATTTGTCAAATTTAAAAATTTATAGTTTAATAATTTAAATGAAAATTAATGAAAAATATTATTGTAAAAATCAAACTGAACAGTTATTTTAAAAAATTTTGATTAGTTGAAATAAGAACTGAAAATTTATGTTAATTTACGAGTATATTGTTGTATGTCTCAGTTGTTTTAACTTTTACTCACATGTTCTTAGATTATATAGAACGGATCACAATATCTGTAACGGTTAAGTTATGCATCGGTTTGAGATATCTTTCCCTTCTAACGTAAAAGTATTGAATGCTGACGGCACTGTTTTCCAAAAGAAAGTCTTCGATCATTCGACCATCGTAGCACGAGAAGCCTGAAAAATACTTTAATAAATAAAATTGTGACCTTTACGTAGCCATAAGTTATGTCGCTAATGTGTGGATAATATCTATCAGTGGTGCAAGGGTATACTAAGTTTGTGCAGATGTATGTGGTACTCGCAAGGCTCACCTTTATTTAAGTTTGTTTGTACCGCCATATATTAGTTTGGGGAAAAAGAATTCCATTATTTTTTCGGTAGATGGCTGCACTGATATATTTTTCGTAAAGTATCGATCAAACAATTTCATATTTATGCTCGTTGGAAAGGTGACATTTCGCAGTAAAAAAATTCTTTTGCTGTTTTTTGTTTGGTGCATTCAGTTGTGAGTTACAGCGTGTTAAAAATGGAAGTGAACAAAGAGAAAATTCGGTACATTTTACAGTTTTTCTTTGACAAAGGCGAAAATGCAAGCCAGGCGGCTAAAATTGTGAATGGTGTTTATGGTTCCGATACTGTAACAGCCAATTATGTGCAATTTTGGTTTCGTAGATTCCGTTCAGGAATTTTTGATGTTGAAGATGCACCTCGCACAGGTAGGCCGGTCGTCGAAAATGTCGATAAAATCGGAGAAATGATCGAAGTTGACCGGCATGTTAGCAGTCGTAACATCGCCCAGGAGCTAAAAATCGACCATAAAACAGTTTTAAACCATTTACACAGAGCTGGATTCAAAAAGAAGCTCGATGTTTGTGTTCCACACCAATTAACAGAAAAAAACATGATGGATCGAATTTCCATCTGCGAAGCCTTGGCCAAACGGAATGCGATAGACCCATTTCTTAAACGGATGGTGACTGAAGATAAGAAATGGATCACATACGATAACCCTATGCAAAAACGATCGTGGTCAAAGAGCGGTGAAGCACCTCAAACGGCCAGGAAAGTTTTGCTATGCATTTGGTGCGCCTGGAAGGGGATTATTTATTATGAGTTGCTTCCATAAGGCCAAACGCTGAATTCTGATCTCTACTGTCAACAACTGGACCGTTTGAAGATAGCGATTGACCAGAAACGGCCAGAATTGGCCAACAGGAGAGGTGTCGTGTTACACCAGGACAACGCTAGGCCACACACATCTACAGTGACTCGTCAGAAACTTCGGGAGCTTGGTTGGGAAGTTTTAACGCATCCGCCATACAGTCCGGACTTGGCACCAAGCGATTATCAACTTTTTCTTGCATTGCAAAATTTCTTTAATGATAAAAAATTGGAATCTAGGGAGGATTGTGAAAATCGACTAGTAGAGTTTTTTGCAAATAGAGACCAGGACTTCTATGAGAGAGGCATTTTGAAGTTACCTTTAAAATAGCAACAAATCATACAACAAAACGGTGCATATTTGACCCAAATCGGACAATCCGAAGCATGTTAAATAAAGTCCTGAAGTTCATATAAAAATAATGGATTTCTTTTTCCCCAAACTAATATGTTTATATTCAATCTACAGGACGCAGTTTATGAGATATTTTGTTGAAATTTAGTCCACCAACAATTTTAGTCGTCACCTAAGTCGACCGCTATTAAAAATGGTTAAACTAAAAAGTCATTATATGAATTGTGGGATTGTGTAGGGCATGTAATCGTGAGCCCTATGCCGGTACAATGTCTTCGCTTGTTCCTTTAAACTTCGAATAAGTCTAGTTCTTCGCCAACAAAAACCGCCAAATGCAGGAATTATTAATTCTAACGGGTCTGGCATAAAAATCATAAAATGTTATGAACAACAGATGTCTAATGAGCTTCAATTCCTAATAGCCATAACGAGGATTAAACTCCCCTATTTACAGGGCCAGCTGCGTGCAGTGTGTTATAAGTTACTACAACCAAGCAAAAACGGTTAAGGGACAATGCATACAATGATAACCACTAACATAATTAACCTGAGTAAAAGCGACAACGTGCTTATGGTTTTCAAGCATCTCAAACTTATTTTCCGTTAAAAAGACAGACCAAATCAAAAGTACGCATGATTCTTATGCGCTGCAGTAGCCAAAAAGGTATAAGTTCGAATCTAAGGCTGATATTAATCTAGAATTTTTAAAAAATTTGCCATGATCAGTTAGTGCATGAAAGGGTCGAAGTATTCACTATAGGGAAAAATTTCTAACTGCCAAAGTGTACAAGATTTTGGATTAGGACTTGACGTAAATATATTGTAAGCTTACTTAAAGTGTTAGTGTGAAAAAATCCCATAAAGTTCACAATAAAACTGCAGCAAATTGCTACATCACATGGCGCATCATTTAAAATAAAGCGGCGTTTAATGAGAAGTGGTCGAAAAGGTGGTCCATTGTACTAAATTTCATCAAAATATCTCATAAATTACGGCTTGTGGATTGAGGACAAAAAAAAACGAGGCAGGCATAACTGCTTGGAATCCAGAACCATTTTCTGAATCGGTCGATATTATTTTAAGTCTTATTAGGCTGTTGGACGTGTTCAGTTGTTGGCACCTGTTGAAAGAAAGAAGAAGAATTACGCAACATTTTCCTCTCAACGCCTGCCTGATATGAAGAAGGGTGCAATAAGCACACTAGTATTTATTAAGCGATTGTAGTCTAGAAATACAAATACAAATGCAAATAGAAAGCATATCCAGTATAATGATAGGATATAAAAAGTAAAGTGGCACATAAATAAATAATAAAGACCATTTTTGTTTTAATGTCTCTTTTTACACTAATATTAAATGTAATTTATTCTTCTTATTGATTGATTTTTTTTAACATTTAAATTATCTTTGAAACATTTTCTCTTTTTTTTTTTTTTTTGTATTTCACTAAAAGTAATCAAACTAATAAACTATAGAAAAACGTATAAAATTTCGCATCTGCGTTCTTTGTTGTTGGTTTTGTTGATTTATTATTAGTCCTTAACAAATCTGCATTATGCATAATTGATCTTGACGGATGCCCTGAACCATTTGTAACAAATCCTGCACATCCTGCTTAACAGCTAAGGAACATTTGGAAAACCTTCCAATTTGCTAGGCGATACACCAGTTGTTCAAGGCGAGATGCAGAAGTTGAGATCTTTCTGTATAAAGGACACTTCTTACCTCTTAAATTTCGCCCCTGAGCTGTATTCGCATGTTGACTATACGTACGGATTGTCTTAATTGCTGCCCATCCGCTGTATAGTTTGGATCTGACCCACAACGGTTTGCTATCTGATTGCCAATAATAAAAAAGCTGTTCCAAGATAATCAATTTCAATCAAATAATGAGATCGTACTGAGGAAACTAGAGCGTATTTTTAGTGTTTTGCCAATCCATTCCTTTGCAAAGGCATCGAAACATTGGAAAGCGTTAGAGAGATTCTACCATTGCAATTATGTAGAAGAACATTGCAAAAATATTATTTTTCTCAGTTCCGGAACTGAACTATTCCGGGAATAGTTTTCAAATTCCTTGCTAATATACTACAATGGGCTTGATAGCGGCAGTCCTTCTTCTTCTGGTCTCACTCATTTACCGTTTTATTCGTAAATGGTAAATCAAAAATAATTTGGTCACATCTGAGAGTATTTGTTTACAATTGAGAATAATTCAAAAAGTCAGTCTGTATTTGTAACTTACTGCCCTCGTTATGAGCATTGATTACGAAACAGTAACTACATTTGAAGATACATATTTGTCAGGCATTAACATGTTATGGGCAGATACGAGTACACCAGAACGCTACGTTCGGCGAAGACCATACCAATTGACAGATGCAGCTTAATCATGGATCATTATCGTGTCGCTCAATCGAGATATTTAGCAACCGTGCAGAATATACTACGTATTCGTATGCTGACGAAGGGAATCATTGGATATCCTTTGGAGTTGAAAGAAGTATGTTTTAGAAGACGTGGACGACCAGCGTTTGGAGATCAAATGACCAAAAAGAATCAAAAGCTTCATTTACAAATATTATTTGTATCTATGGTTCCAAAGCACATCCGTTACTCTTTTCTTAAATAAGAAAGTCTTGTTAGCCAAACAAATTATACATTTGCTTAAAAATTTGAATTGGAAAATCTATTAATGATTACGGCTAAAACGAGTATTTAATCTCACGGACAGAAGAGGCTTTAAATGCGAGATTGTTTACAATATTTTGTGCCATTTTCCTATGATTCCAACAGTTTTTTTTGTTCAATATGAAGAATTGTTAAGCTTTGCTGAAGTTGCAATTTTTATATTGTGTAGCATGCAAAGCAGCTCAAAGGGCTCTTAACGCTATCTGACTAGCTCGCCGAAAATTGGGGGGTTCCTGAAAGTGACTTTGCCCTATAGAATCTTTATAAATTTTTAGATGTAAGTGGATGTGTAGTGAATGTGAGTGTGTTAGGTGATCACCTACTTCGCCAGCCAGAATCAAAACAACATAAATTAGATTACAAACATTTTATTAAAGTGTTGTTGTTACAAATGTGTTAATCTAAAAGTGTCAAATGTGTATTCTGGTTCAAAAATTATGATTATAATAAAAATAAGAATTATAATCTATGTTAACAAAAAAAAATAACAACTCACCGAGATCTTGGAAACAATTAACAACTTGATAAATCTAATTTTGAAACTACTGCCACTCGTATCTTCACATATGCAACGTAGTCCAATATTTCTTCAATGTTTTCGGC